AACAAACTAATGTAACACAGAAGGGAAAGCTTCAGCATGTATCAGAAAAATAGTGAAATTCATGTCACGCACGCATACAGCCTGCGTTAGTCCACTATAAATGGGTAGGCACTAATTTCCTTCCTTACCTGGCCTTTACTCTGTCTTATAGTTTCTTTTCTTCTCTATTATTCTGTGACTTTTTTAAAATAACATAGCTTGTGCCATAGAAGCAATGAGGAAAAACCAATTGCTTAGGCTTGCCTGTATCTGAAATGGTTGCCTTTTTTCCTTTTTTTTTTTTTTTAAATAAGCACTTCTTTATATACTCATGAAGTAGATCCATGTTTTGAGGTTTGTTTATTTTTTAAAAGATTCTCCACTTAAAGTTTCTTTCTGTGATTTTCTTTCTGTTAGGTTTTACTGCTCTTCTAATTTCACATTTTTTTCTTCTTTGTATTTTCTCTTTCTTCCCCTCAGACATAATACTACTCTCTGTTCCAGTTTTAGGGGAGGTTCCAAGCACCCTGAGCAAACTGAATAGCACTTTATTTTGTGACTGATCTATTTGAATCTCTCTTTAAAGTGGCACTCTTCCTTAATGAGAAAAGGAACCTTAGAGCTTTAATATTTTTTTAGACTTTATATTGGTGTTTTTCTTTTTGAGTCTTATATTTCTTCTGTTTCAGTTTTGTTCTGCTTATAGTTTAACTGTCTTCTAATTCATAGAGTAATGTGATATGCCCAAACATGCTGTAATGTGTGAAGTGGGAAACTCTATCCCCGGTTTGCTGGTCAGCCTTTTTTTCAATTTTCCCTGCTTTTAAGTATTATAATTCTGAAGACAAAAGCCACTGCTAGAGCCGTTTAGCAATTCTGTTAAACATCTACTGAGCGATTGCCTAAATCATTTCTTTTCCTCCTACAACTGTACTACATAAGCTTCGCTTATGAACATAAGTTTCACTTGGTTTCATACCACCATAAATAGTGTTCAGCAGCAGTTCTGTTATAGTCCAGTGAATTAATGAGTATGATCTTCTGGGAACATTCAGCACGTCACGGCCGATAATTTGTGAGATTCTTCCATACCAGATACATTTCTTTTGTTTGAAGCCCTGGTGCATTCATAGTGCTGAGCGCCAGTTGCTGATGATAGCAAGGCCTTTTTGGGTTCACTAATTCATGGGAGACATTGTCTCCTTTCTCCCCATAATTAAAATCTGCTGTGTTTTGTACAGTGATACACGATGGCACAATATATCTGAGTTCATTAATTCACTTCATTTCTTTTGCCCTTGTTTCCTTTCAAGGCTGAAGCATGCAGTATGAGTACCGAGGTTACTGGGTGTTCTGCTAACTATAAGGACACCTCCTGCTCAAATTATTTTGCAGAAACACTGAATGCTTGCTTTAGATGTTGAATTGAATGAGAAAAAAGTAGTCCTGCTGTCTCTCCTGGCTGCTTTTTCTTTTTTGGGGGGGGGGGGGGGACGAGGAAGAATTTGAGAGAGGTCATGTGAGCACGCATCCCATACAAGTGTACTAACTACAAGTACAGTGAGTCACTAAGCACTCTCAGGACTGAAGTGGCTGTGTGCATCCCAACTAGGAGAAACAAAAGATGCTCAGAGGACTTTGCCAATGGGATTCTGAGTGCTGGACTAGATGTGGGATGGCAGTAGCACATGGCTATTGGACTGGGGCATTTAAATGCCCTGAAGTGCTGAAACATCCTCAGGTGATGATAAATTGCAGTTGCTTTTAAAAGTATTGTATGTTATCCCTCTTTCTCTGTCGGGGAGTCTACTACTTGCTTTCTTACATGCCTTGTTTATCTGAGTGACCCTACCATAGGCTCTTCAATGTGTGCATAAGGATTGTCACTTTGAAAGCAAGGGCTTTTCAGAATGCCTATACTGGTAGGTACTCCCCTGTACCATAGTATATGGCTTAAAATTTTTGGTCTATGGAAAACATTAAGCGTTAACAAGCTATGCGAAGCAGAGATTACATAAGAGAGCAGAAAGTCACATGAAGCAAACAAGCGTTGGCCAGTGGGGAAAATCAGGATGTGCAAACTGCTGAATTAGGTTAGTCACGGGCCTGGCTGTCCATCTTGTCTTTTAGCATGACAGCACGATATTCATCAGTGGGAGGTGATATAGTTGTCTGTCTCTGGGCTCATGAGTTGCGTGCTATGCCTGTGTTTTACACAGCAGTGTAAATCAAACACAAATTGAAGTCTGTGCTTAAATGTATATATATTTTTAAGGCAGGTGCTGAGCTCTCGCAGCTATTTGTAATGTCAATAAAATATGGAAGTAGTCAAGAGCCAATAGGACCAGGCCCAGTGGTTGGATGCAAAGCTGGCCAGTAGCTTAGAAGTCGCTCATTTCCACATAAAATTGTTCATTTTTCAAGTTTTTAATTTTGCAGGTATGAACTGAGCAGTAGGTAAAACTAACAACCCTCATAACTTATATTCTCATTAACCAAATGAGATTACTGAGCTTTTTATAATTGTTTTCTTTCCAGCTGTTCTATTGGATTTGTTCTGTGGGTAGGAAAAAGGATATAGTTTGTCCACTTTGTTGGCATTCATCCATGTCCCAGCATTCAAAAGTCCAGAGAAATTTGCAGAGTGTGTATCAAGAAACACAAACTGTAACACTCTTAATCATTTATAATGAGACAGGGATTTCCTTCTCTGAGAGTTTCAGGAGTTAGTGCTCAGTGGCCTGTATCTTGTGTCATAGTAATGAAATAGGCTCTGTGACACATTAAGATGAGGAAATCCATTTTGCCCATTTCACAGAAAAAGGAAAGCATGAAGAAGAAACTCAGAAACTTTGCTTTGCTCTAATGGTAAATATCCAAAAATCAGATTATAGTCCAGGACTGATGTTCAGAAGAGTAGCCTGTCCTTTTCCGTTCTCATTACCGTTAGCGTTTATCCAAATTACTCAGCTTCTGTTTACAAAGGACTGAGAGTCAGGGTAAGATAAATATGAAGACAAATTTAAAGTTGTTGTTACATAATGGTTGTTTGGGAATATCTTTTACACCAAAACCATCTTACTGAAAAATGGGATCAAGGTCCTGACTAAGGTTTTATTTAAAAAACAAAGAAACAACAATAAAACCTTGGGGTAAGATGCGGCAACCTGGAGTGAAATGCAGTTCTGCTGAGAAAAACATTTGTAAAGGTGCAGTGCATTTCAGCGCGTAGAAGCTTTTCAGACTGACTGTCAAAATACTGGGGGAGCATACCAATGTTTTCCTTCACAAAGTGACACGTTCTTCTGCGGCCAGGCTCTTTCATCTGTGCTGGTAGGAGCGAGCAGCCAATGCTCAAAGCTTCCCTTGTACCAAGAGTTCAAATTCCCTTACAGTTATTGAATGCTTACTTGCTTCCCAGTAATGGATTTTTCCCCTTCTCTGGAGCAAAAGAACTGCTCAGAAGAGTCCTCCTCCCAGACACAGATGCCATAGTAATGGTCAGCGTTCACTGGCTGCAGCGTGCTAAGCAATACTCTACTAAGGAATTGCCTGCTTCTCTTAATTCACAAACCAACTTTTCTTTTTTCCTTATGAAGGCTTTGATCTGAGTGAGATGGTACAGCTTGGGGATGAGACGTGATCTAGTCTGCTGCTTCAAGTTGTTACATTGTAATTTTCTACCATTTCACTGTATCGTGCAAACTGAACGGTACACTAAAAGGTCAGAACAAATGATTCTTCAAAGAGAAATGTGGGCAATAATCTTCCCAAACATACATCCCTTCACCTTTTGTTTGTTTGTTTAATTTGCAAGTTCTGATCTGACAAAGTTGTTTATTTGTTCTCCTTTCTAGGCTAAGGCGATTACCCCACGGTATCATTCCTTAATAGCCATCAAGGAACCTACCCGTCAAATAAAAACCTAGTATCACCAAGTAGCCTGTAACAAATAGGAGAAATGATTAACAGTCAGTAACACTAACTAAGCTGATGCCTCAGATTTCCTCGTGAGGCAGAGAACGGAGGTTCTTGGGGCTGAGGAAGCTGTAGGGACCAATACATTAGTGTTAGTGTGATTGATATTTTCCTGGTACACTTATCCCAAGAAACTCAGGCTATTTCAGGCAAAGCACAAATTCCCACACTGGGAGAATTTTATACTTTGAAGTGGAGGGGACAGTAGCTTTGACTCTGTCAGTCTCCCATGGGGCTGGAGGGCTTAGAAAGGGGGGAGCTGGAGGGAGGACATCTCCAGACACTGGCAATACCACCCCACCGCACCAGTCACCACACTACCCTGCTCACCCTCCACACTACCCACCCTTAGAGCACAGCACATCCCTGCTTCCCTCCCCTTCAAATAAGACATTGGACAGAGCTTTCAGTTTTTATTCCCACTGCTGGGTTCATGATGGGTCAGGCTTTGCGTCATGGATTAGGTTTGATGAACTGATTTTTAGCTGCTCTTTATCAAGTGACTGTAAAACACTGGAAACATCCTAGGCTTAGAAATTCTGTCCATGTTGAGCAGTGATTAATGGTTAATTTCACATGATATGTATGTGCCTATGTCAAGTGAGTAATAATTTGTATTTTATGCATTTTTTTTCCTCCTTCATTTATTAGGCTAATAAAAAGGAATGGAAGGACAGATTGTGAATTGTGCAAAGCTCATGGATAAAATATGAACTGATTTTAGCTGTCACCTCCATCCCTAGGGTTGCTCTCTGGACTATCTTTCTTTGCTTGGCCAGATGTAGGAGACAGCAGTAAACAACCCATCAATTGAGTTGCGCTTCTGGGGCCAACGGTTACAAGTTTTCAGGAAGAAGCAGCTCAGCTCCTTGACTGTGCCATCTTCTTCCTCACAGTAACATGTGATGCTAGAAAGCCTCTCATGTCTACTCTAAGAACAGAAGCAGCTGTGGCTAACACACATGGGTGGGGAGAGGAGCTGAGGCAATAACAGATGCCAAAATTTAAATTTTGTGTCCTTCCTCCCTCTCTTTTTATTCAAGGTCTTGCTCTGTATAACATATACCTCCACGTTTGAGCTGAATGGGAGTTCAGTGCTGAAGATTGCTGAAGTAAGTGCCTCTGTCCTAACATTGCTTGTGTTACTTAATGTGTCACCACCAGCTAGAGTGTGTCTTCCACACACATCCCGAAATTGAACTAGTCCAAATCACAGTTACCTCCTTAAGGACTGGTGCTAGTTTGTTGCTCGTGTCAGTATGATGAAATAGCTGTAAACTGGACAGGGCTGGTACCTTGCATTGGAAGGCATGCTTTCAGAAATTGAGTGACAATTGTAATGTTGTAATGGTGCATGTTTACTACTCCTCATGTTTATTTTAAATTACCCTTCACAATAGAAAAATGTCCCTCTTTAGGTTCTTTATGACGTAACACTGTGCTGACTCCTCACCTGATGCAACACTAAAACTAATGTAGTTTCATCAAGAGAGGTGTATAGGCCATAATATGCCTTATTAACATGTGTATTTTTCCTAGTGCTTCCAAGCAAAGGATTTATTACACCTCTAGATATGTGATGTTATCCTGGAACCATTAGTCACGCTCTTTCCCATTAGATTTTAGTCTGAATTAGATCTTAAAGGAGTGTTGGATGTATAAAAACATACCTGCTAAGGGCAGGTCTATTAAGTCAGTATTTGTAGAACGGTGATATTTTCAGTACAGTAGCAAGTCATCGGGCTGTTTATCCAGGTGAGAGGTATTATTGTTAACGTGGTAAAGGGGAGAGCTAATGTGGAGCATTGTAAAGGTCATATAAACATCCTTTGCCCTTTGTTGGGCATCTTTATGCCCAACATATGTTAACTGTTCTTTTAAAAATAATATGCGTAAAGCTAGCTTTGTTGGGAAGTTATGATACTTTAGGAATAAAATTGGCCTTGCATTGTCCCATTGCAAGCTGAGAATGGGGGTATGAGGATAAAAGGGAACCTAATAAAACTAGTTGACTGCTATCCTAAGTGATTGCTAAAAAACTGTCTTTAAAAGCCAGGGATGCAACATAAATGGCTTGTGTATAATGTATACAGGATGAAAAGTCGTATTCATTTCAGATGTCCTGCACAACTTAGAGCTTTGTTCCGCTTGTGCTATGTGAGATTCCCAAATTCATGATGGATGGCTTTTTTGGAGGTCCTTATAAGCCCCATTAGTAGAGGCTGCAGCAGGGATGAACTGAGTTCGTAGTAGGAGTTAAATCCTGCTGTTGATAGTTGCACCACTTTGAATCCCAAAAGGCCAGCCTTGCTTTTAAAAACCTTTGGTAGTATAGTAACATCAGTTAGTGCAATGGTAGGTTGTCCTAAATCTTTGAAAGGAGCAAGAGCTCCGATGCAGATATAGTAATACTGACAAGATGCACTAGCAAAATAAATAAAACTTTTCTTTCCTTCAAGAAATTGGAATAAGCAATAATAATATAGAGCAAGCGCGTTTCCATTGGGAATGTTTGCAGGTATCTGTTTTTCGCCATGCTCCTCAAGAAAATTCTACCTTGAATCCTTAGCTCCTCCTGTTTTGCAAATCCCACTAGGCACGTAACATGCTTCCTCAGGTACATCCTGTCCAGGTTTTAGATAAGGCAAAGGTTTTAACAATTACGCTTAATTCTCCTTTGCATCTAAATTCTGCCATGTATAAGCAGTAGGGAACAAAAAATGATTTCCAAGTCCAGCACTTTCTTGACTTCAGCATTTACTGTTCTGACTTGCTCTAATGGGAAGGTGGCAGAGAGGAGCTCTCTAGATGCTGTGCCCCTGCTACTCAGTGTTTCTTTCCAAGTAAGCCACGCACTTTCCCTAGCCTGCCCCATACAGTAAAGTGGAGCCACTGCAGAATTAGAAAGCTGCTGCCTGCATATTGGCAGGACTATCTCTCTGAGGACTCCCCGTGACAGACACCACTGCAGTCTGGCTGTTTTGCACATTTTCAATTTGTGGATACAAATCTTTCCGAATACTTTTGGCCTCGTGTTAATGAAGTACCCAACATGAAGAGTACTATATTTAGTGGCTTGAATATTACTAGGATTGAAAACAGAGTAAATCTTGCTGTGTGCAACTTCTCACACTTTGCCTGGACCCCTGTAAGAAAGTGTAATTCATGCTCTGACTGTTGTTTATTTTTATGTGTGTATTTGTTATTCCCATCTACCTCTAGGGAGTTTGTTCTGTGTGACTCCTTTGTGCTGCATTGGCTAACCCTTCTGTGTTTTGCTCTTAGTTGTGTTTTGCATGCCATAGAGCTGGAAGTCCCCGAATGCATGAAATGATCAAAATGTCCATTGCACACCTCTTTGGGTTCCTGTGCTCTCGTATTTTTAGTGATGCTTCTTCATCAATGGCTTTTCAAAAGGTACCTTGGTGTTTTTAAACAGAGGCCTTCCATAAAATCGAAGCTCAAATGGACAGTTGTGGTGCTCATTAGTGGGCATGGGAAGGGGAGAGAAAAAGGAGGTATCAATCATGCTCTTTCCAGAAAGTCAGCCTGCCTCTAAGAAAGATATTTCATTGATTAATTCTGTAACTCTAGAAAGAGACTAACAGCTCAAGAGTGCGATCACACAGCCTTTGCAGTGCGCTCCACAGCGCTGGAATGGTTTGGCTCTGCAGGGTGTTAGGTGAAGGGTTGTATGTAGTCACCGAGCTTCAGGATCCTCTGGACTTCAGGTGATAACTGAGAGATGGAACAGTTGCTAAGGGCCTTCTTTTAACTTCGAAAATCATCTTCACACACTAAATGATTGCTCTCAAGTTAAAGAAAATCCCTTAGTTAATTGGAGGATTAAAATCTTGAAAAAGGGCAACATGAAGAAGATACACTGTAGATTCTGACTCCTATGTGCTGCGAATGCGTACCACTGTAATCTGCTCTAGCATATTGTCAAAAGAGATATTCAGTGTCTGTTCACGTCTTTTGCACAGTGCTTCTAACATGAGATAATGTGATACATACATATGCTTAATAGCTTTAGAATGCTATCTATAGATACTGTTAGCTACTTCAAGGGAAAATAAGGCAAGAGTCATAATTTAGGTAACTCACTTGAAATGTAATTATATCCAAGAAGCTCATGCTTTCATGCTTTCTTGAAGCTCGTGGCTTCATTGCGATGCTGAAATGTCAGGTTTTCCAAAATAAGGTCAAAAGAATCTTAATTATTTTTCACTCTGCTTTAAGAGAGGCAGAGGTGTGCCAGCAGCATGTCCGTCTTCAACTTTATAGCCTTGAACCCCCAACCCCTCTCTCTTAGTCAATGGAATAGCTTTGTTTCCTTTCAGTAGGAGTTAGAAACAATCTGAAGTCTTGTCCATGCCTATGTTAATAAGGATTAGCCTATGTAATCAGATCACTTTCATGTTCCCCTCTTAAAATCTCTTCCTCACTAGGGAACTGTAAACATGGCTTTACACTATATAATATTATTCTCATTCAAAACCCTCTGTACACCAGACATTTACATTTATACATACTCCTCCTGCATATAATTTATGCACTATATATATTTCACAGCTAGTTTAATCTGTAGTCATGGTGCTTCTTGCTAGAAATATTTTGGAATGACAGCAAAGTAAAAGCACAAAGACTGAATTGTGTATGAGCAGCTTCACAGTCATTGCCAATCATAAAGCTTAGTGTAGGCCAAAGGGACCAGAACTGCTTCTTCAGATCCCGGTTTGAGAAGATAGTATTCCACAGTTCTGTCTGAAAGCCACTAAGCCGCATCAAGACTGTTATCTGTGCAGTAGTTACTGTGCAGTAATTACAGTGGTTACTAGTAGCTATGGTAGTTCTTCCAGAGGCAAACACCTCCCCCAGAAAACCTGATAGTGGGTAGCACACTGCAAACTGCAGTTTCTATCCTCAGGATCCCAAGTACATTAGCTTTGGTAACTATTTGCCTAGTGTCATCTTGGGGCAAAAGTCAAGCAGGGCTGCAGTCGCAGCACAGTGTCAGAAACCTACAAGCAGCTGAGGGTGGAGCGGGAAGCTGTGGGCAGTGCGTCAGCATCCTTTCATTTCAGCCCTGGCTCCTCGCTGACCTCCAAGCTGAGGAATCCTCTGGTTGACTGCCAGTTATTAAAAGGCAGTCAGCACTTATGCCATTTACGGTAAATCATGATTGTATTTGCTGTGTTAGGAAAGGCCTTCGAAGTCTTTCAGATGCAGGTATCCATGTTGTAGTATATAATACTATATGCTATACATGTGTGCATACACATTTGCTACAATATTTAGGAAAAGTGGCAAATACAACAGCAACAACAACCTGTAGGGACTGGCGGTTACTTGCACCACAGGTACAGAATTGCAGAATGATCGTTTCAAATAAGTATCTAGAAATAAACAATTGAACCAGCATTTAAAGAATTATCTACAGCAGAAGGCAAGTGCCAAAATCCCTTGGGTTTGACAGAAAGGGAAGAATTTGCCAATTCTGCCTTACCGTTCCAACTTACTAACTTACTAACTGATGAACTGAATGCTGCTTCTAAATGGGACTTACTCACTTATCCATATCACTGAAAATTTGTTATGTGCTAATAAAACACTACGGAGCAGTAGGAAAGGCTGACTATCTGTGTACAAGAGATTTTGGTATCCTCCTAAAATGTGTTATTGGTAAGTTACAGTTCATATCTGTGTACTGCTATCTTGTCTCCTCATCAGGTTTGCATAGAGACATATGTATCTAGCTGTCACCAGCGGAGCATTAACACCGCTGTGCGGGCAACCCTCAGCCAAATGTTGAGTGACTTGACTTTACAGTTACGGCAAAAGCAGGAAAATATGGTGAGCCTCCTGGCATCAACAAATGGTTCCACATCCATGGCTGCGTACCTTTTTGTTTCTCTGAATGCAGTGCATTGTACTGGCTTGTTGTGCCTTGTGGCTTTTATATGAGACTTCCACAATTAATCCTGTTTAAAACCTTTTTTGGGCTCTGACTCTGTGTCTGCCTCAGAGCAGTCTATCAGAAGCACAGCTCTCGACTTGTCAACTATACTTTGCTCATTTTTTCTCCTTCCATTAAACAAAAGGGGCTTTGTTTTGATGACAGACTGCCTTGGCCTTTTTCTTTCCATTCTTTATTTTGTTTGCTTGTTTTCCTGACATTCCTTGAAATCCTTTTACCAAAATTTTTTGCATGAAAAATATTTACATAAGCCAAACACAGTCTCAACTATTGAAAATGTAGTTGAGGGGGCTTTGTGTTTTGGGGGTTTTTTTGTTTTATTTTTTTTAAAGAAGATAATTTAAGCCAGTGAAGCAACTTGGCCCATGACATTCTTCATCTGCTTAGTTATTAGCAAAAATAAGTTCTGTTTTTTGCTTTTATTGCATTATTAAAATGCATGAGAGCTGTTTGTGCTAAGTCTCAACACTTTGACAGTGAAACCATAAATACGCTGGGCAAATACGAAATGACTTTGTCTTCTTATATTTGTTCACGCTGCTTTGCATATTATCAAAAAAGTACAATTTGTAAGGATCATTTTCTATTTATTAGGAGTTTTAAAGATTGTAGTTATGCAGATTTTCTTCCTTACATCTGTTTTGGGTTAAGAGGACCACTTCAATTTTGGGTTATTTAATAAGACGGTATAATTTTTATCCTTATGGGCAACTACAAAACAGAGTTCATAGGTTTACTCAAGCTCATCCTCTCTCTGTGTCAAATGGATTCATTTTACTAACCAAAACGTTTAGAAAAAAGAAATTGGCAGTTTTGAAATTTCACTTTGGTTAGTTCTGTTCCTAATCTGCCGGGTGGGTGAGAGTGTATGGGAGCTGCGTTTAGTTTAGGGTGTTGTTGATGCGTGTGTTCTCTGAGGAAGAGAATTCAGCTTCATCTTGTGTGTGCTTTGTGCGCTGATCAGAAGAGGCCTATGCTGCAGGTGAACCAGCTGGCCTAAAAGGGTATTTCCATTTCCTGACTGCCATTAGTTGTATTGGCTCTGTAACATTAATCATGACAATGTGATAAACTAATACTCAAATGACTCCAGTTTCTAAGCACTTTGTGAAATCTAGACTGCACTTTTGACTCAGTTATTTTCAATGAGCCCTGCATTCCTAGCTCTTATTGAGTTCTCTCAGGTATATGAATTCCCTTAAGGACTTGTGAATCCTAGTTCAACTCAATGAGAAGCAAGTGCTTTCAATCTAAATGACTGTTTAAAACAGATCTTAAGGTACTATTGAAAACATTTTGCAGAAGCCTCATTTAAAGACAAAAAACCGACAAAAAAGAACAGATAGAGGATGTGAATTTGTTGAGGAAGAAAACTTTGCTCTTAAAAGTTTTGCTTTTACAGTGTTTTTCTACCACTTGCACTGTTTATACCACATTTGTCTTTCTTCAACAGACAATTGAAAACCATGAGGCCATGCAGAAATTCAAGAGTCAAGGTATCTGCACCACTTTTTTAGTGACTCCTTCCAATCCAGCTTTTTAATTCTTCACATTCCTTTTATCAGCCACTACTGCTGATGCCACAGGAATTGCATCTTCAGCTTTTCTTGCCTTCTCCATAGCTTGGTGCTATCTGTGGTACCTGTGGTAAGAACTGAGACAGCCCTGTGAGCTCCTGATATTTTCAGTTGTGTCTTCATCCGAATTATGTTAACAGCATTACACCTAACGTAGTAATAGATGACTATCAAGGTGCTGCTCCTATATTGAAGGAGTTTCAGTGCCCTAGACAAAGTTTTAATGAAGTGGATTTATTTCCTAAAATTGAAACAGATTCATAGACAGAATTGAAACAGATTCATAGGATGTTGAGTCTGGAGATGACTGTGTTACTGTATTTTAGGCCAGAAATGCAGTTTATATAACAACAGGTTTTTGAAGTGCATCACTCTATTCACGCTCCTCACACTATTGTTTTACAAGAGACATTTTTTCTTCTTCCATTCTGACTTAACTTCCACTGTCTCCCCGACAGTTAAAAACAATCCTTGCTTTTGATTTTTCTCATTGGATTTCAGAAAGAATTTGTGTGGATGGGGCCTAAAATCTTTGATGTGCACAAGCGTTCCCTTTTAAGATCAAGGCCTGACCAGACAGACATCAGAACGTGTAGCAGAGAAACTTCAGGGACAGCCACAGGGATGCTAGCTGCCACATAAGTGGTGAAGCCAGTCTCTCTCTTTTTTTCCCCCTCTTCTTCTTATCTGAATTGAATTTTGACTAACTTTCTGTAAATGCATGTAAGCAATTAGTGCTCTCTCCAGATTTGATACTACTGTTCCTTCATTGTGCTGGAATCACTTTCCAGGCTAGGACTTTTTCTGCTGCGTCTCTGAATTTTGGCAGCCCCTCTTCATCATTAAGAAGCATGGATCTGTGTCCCTGGGGCAAGGGGAATTCTGAAAAGTCCGTGCCGTGAATTGGGGGTGTAATTCAGTTGCACGTGTGTAATGCCACTGATCTTTGTCCTTTTTGGAGGTACTTCAGCTGAGTCTCTTAGTGATGATGTTGTATCTGTCCTCACTGTGCTCTGTGAGAAGCTCCAGGCTGTCATAAAGTGAGTTATTTCAGTTTATAATTTGAATTTATTATCTGGAGATTGAGAGTTTCACTGATGTATATGATTGTACTGTACTAGTTCTGGGATTGTGAAGCAAAACTGTCCTTATATGAAGGGCTTGTCAAAGAAAGCATTGTTCATGATGCATTAACTTAATCCTCACTTACGATGAGAAACAAATTTACTTTCTCTGTGCACTGTTTAGCTTTAAAGAGCCTCCAATAAATTACAGTGACCCTGATCTGTAAGTAACTTCCAAACAGCAGCAAAATGCTTGTAAAAGGAGTTTTCTTTTCTGTCTTGCTGTGTGTCATGAAAGCCATCATTGTAGAAGGATGAAAAATTACAAGAGACGTGGAAAAATATAATAAAAACACTTAATATGCAGAATGAATTCATATGTCCTTCTTAGAAAGGCAGCATTTATCACATTGAAATAATTTGCATTACCAAAGCGTTCCTTAAATTTAGGAATATCATATACTCTACCTACTTGCAAATTCATGAGCCTAACACTTAAATTACCATTATTATATGCAGTAATAGGGTGTTAAATTGCATCAGAATCCTGTAATCTCTTGTTGGCCAGTCTCTAACAGTAGGTACTTACAAGTTTAAGAATTATTCCCTGTGACATTTCAGCATAGCGCTACTAGTGGTCTATTAGGAAATGAACCAGAAAAAGCCTTAGGTGGTGAAGAAGAGAGAAACTGACCAAAAGCAATATAAAATAGTGTTTCAGAAATATAAATATAGCAAGGTAGAAATAATCTGAAGATTTTAAGGGAAAAACAAGTTCTTACTTGACAACATTATTTCTGTATCAGTAAATTAAGATATAACTTGCTACTATTGCCAGCTGCAAAGACTATCATCTGAATGGTAGTGAAAAAGGTGATCTGAAGCTGGTTAATTTGTAGCAGAAGATTGTCTCTTTGGTTGGACCACCAGGCTCAGCGCGTCTGTGACAGTGGCCTACGAGACAGATCTGTGACAGGCTTAGGGATGTCTCTGACAGTAGCCTGTAATGGATTCTGGAAAAAGGGAGAAATATGGAACACACAGACACTGATTCTTCCTTGTATATGTTCTACCATCTTCGGGAAAAGTATGGCTTAAGAACTACCAGAGCCAAAGATTGCACTTGCAGCTTTGTGTGTCATTCTTTGATTGACTTTTCTCCCATGAGTATCCCTAATTGGAGTATGATTTGAAGGGGATGAGTGCCTTACTTAGCATTGCTTAATCAATATCTGAATTCATTCAGATCAATATCATTTGGGGATAACAAAAGCATGTTTCTGAATCTTCTAAAAGAACATTTTCAGAACAGTGTGGAGGTACAAGGTAATAGTAAGAGATCTGCAGAAGTGTATGTCTTAAAATAGCGAGTGGCAAAAAGAGCTGAAACATTCATTCTTTATATCAAACTGGAATTTTGCCAGCCTTCTTCTGATAAATATTCTCCACAAAACGGTAACCATTTTGAATTACTGGATATGAAATACTAAAACTAAACTACCCGACAGGATCTCTCAGAATCACTTAAAAGCCTTTAAAAAATTATCTGCAATCCCAGTTCCCCATGAAACTGTGCTGAATTAGAACAGATTAAAGCATGCTGTAGATAAAGCACAGTAAGAGATTCATAGGACTTTAAAATACTCACAAAGCATGATTTATGGCATGCTTGTAATTATGTACCTAGAGTGTTAGGGTCTCTGATTAACAGCAAAACATAGTGAAGGATTTTAATTGAATCTGAGGAAAACAAATTTAATTAGAATGGCTTGCTAAAGAACTAAATCCGTGAGTTTCCCAGGGAAGGAAGGAATGAAGAGCCTTTATTTCGTTAAACCCCCGGGTCAATGACGTGAGGTTTTGATATGTTATACTGCCAGTTCTCATCTCTTAGTCTGAAGATTACCTTAACTCCCTCTTCTAAATTTCAGGCTTATTGGAATTTTGTTTTGAGGGAGGCACAGCTATGAGTGATGAGGAAGAGTGCAGGGAGATGCATTTTTTCTCAGGACTGCAGGTATCCTGGTGACTCTGGAATTTGCGGTAGTAGTGATGTGAACAGAACAGCTGCACTGAGGTGTGCAGGACTGCAGTGTCTTAGTCCATTGTACCTGAATTTCTTACCCACAGGAAAATGGGTTGGTGGTAAGTGGGATCAAAGCAATCTATGAGTGCAAGATGCCCTGTGCATCCTTGTGCAGGTGTCAACTGCAACATGTTGATAATGCACATTAAGACATTTACGAAAAGCTGTCAGAAAAGGCGGCAATTTTATCTGGAATGTGTGCATCTCTTTTCAGATAGGTATGGACTATTATGAGGAAAAAGCTATCACCTTTAAAAAAGATATAGGTCAGCACTTTTAAACCATCCATATGGTAGAATTAGGAACCTAACTCAGAGCCTCAGGATTCATAGTTTTCCAAGTGGCATGTGAAACGGGCACTGTCCTACTCAGAGGAAGATTGAGCTAGGTGAGCAAAAGGCCATCAGACAGACAGCAGCAGAAAAGCAGAGATTTCTCATTCCTTAGCTTCAGCTAAGATAAATCTGTTCTGTATAGTTTTCTTCACCTGACATTGTACATCAGCAAATAGAGTCTTCCAGCCCTCATGTGGGACCAATCCTAGCCTTTTCAGCAGTGAAAAACAGAATGTGAGTGCTGTTCGGATGGGGAGCTGCCTTCATAAGGCAGACATCAGGCTGGCTTGTCACCTGAATCCTGCAGCTAATTCTGAGCGCAGGTACAAGTACACTGTATGTGAACAAGTACATTGATTATCAGTGTCCACAGTATCTATCATGTTCTTTCTCCTGAAGCGCACTTTGTTGTTCATGATTTTTACAGAGAAACTGGCAAGGCCCCAAAAGGTACCCTTGTGATCACGCAACTTTCTGCCTGTAACATTGACTTTTGGCCATTATGGCTGTCATCAAGAAAGCAGAAAGATAATCAGAAAAGAGTGATCTAATGCCGTTCAGTTTGCCTGCTGAGACTAGGAAGCTATCTTATATCCCAAAATCCTGTGGTATCTCCTTTTCCTCTGCTTAAAGGTTCCTTCTTTCTCAGGTTTTCAGATTGAATCTGAATAACTATCTCTATTTTCTTCTTCCCCTTCTTTCACATATATTTCTTTTCTTATTCCCCACTTTGAAATTTGATGAACTAAATCTATTTTTATTACCTTTAAATAGTAGTAGATCACTGCATGTGATCAGTATGAAATGAACAGGATGATACATGTGATCAGACCATTGGAAATCCATAGGCAGATGCAAAATAAGTCAGTGCTATAAAGTGCAGTATAATTTTCAAGTGAACTGATGTAGTTCTTTTTAAAAAATTAAATAATCTTTGTTTCAATGTGACATGAATAGCGTTTTTTCTCTTTGCTAGCGACAATCGGCAACTTCAGCTTCTTTACTTGGAGTGCATCCTCTCCATGTTAAACAGCTCCTCTCCCAGCATGCACCAACACAAAGGATTCACTGATCTCATATGGTGAGTACAGCTGAAGAGTGATAGAAGTATTCTGTTTATAGGCATAAAAGGACTTTACCTGCCCCCCATGTAAACAAAGCTGTAATAAATCACCAGTATGAGGAGAACTCGCAGTTTACCTACTATCACTTCATTCCATACTTGCTATGGGATTGGTTAAGACCTCATGTTCAGCTAGCAAATTAAATCCTGTGGTAAGTTGTCAGTGTCGTGGAGTCAAATGTATTTAGTCAGAACAGGATCTTATAGATAATCTCTTATACTTTCTGCAATAGTTTCAAATTGTGTGTGGCATTAAACACATAAATATTTTGCTTACTTTAGGAGAGTGCTGTTGAGATCCTTACTGGTTTAATGCAGTAGTACGGGATGATAGGTTGGATTACTGTAGGATGCTGTGCTGGAGACCAGAAATCCTTATGACCTGCATTATAAAAAGGCTCAGGTTACGTGATTTTAATAGTGCTTCCACCTTATCAAGAAATACTTTTTAATACACTTCACCAGAAGGACATCACTTCTTTGGTGTTTGTTTCTACCTCTGTACTGTTTGGTGCCATCACCTCAGAGCAGCTGAAATAATCCTTAGTAAATTATCCCTCTTGCTATTTGCAATAGGGGTTTTTGTAGCGTATGGATAGTTGGCTCATAGTAGTAAAGCGAAAATGTAATTAACATACAGTTCCTTGCAGTCCATGCAAAATGAGTATGTCCATCCTGTGACACCTTGCTGGGTGATTGTGTTAAGAAAAGGTATATGTGAATGTTAACTCCAAATGGTGTTTCCTGTGCTTTTACCCTGTGATTTTGAAATAAAAGTGTTTGACTCAGGTCCATTTCTGAGGATGGAAGGTGCAGGGGTAGCCATCGCTTCCTTTGCCATTCTGAGAAAATCAGAGAAGTTGATACTCACTGGCCGCAGGAGTAAGAGGCCCCCCAGGTTGCCAAAACTTGTCGGCATCGCACACAGACCCTGTGCTGAGGCCTCTGGGAGCTCTAATATAGGAACATAGTCACAGAATTTTCTCCTTCATGGCAAACCCTTTTCCAAAGCTTCTGCCCTTGAATTTCATTTACCCCTTCATGCTTATGTGATTGTGTATGGGGCCAGCCTGTAAGCAAGGTCACTGACATGGTCTGGGTTAAAAGAAAACTCTTTCCGTTTTATTTTAAGTTCACGTTAGTTTGATGCTTACACTACAAATCTGCCGATGGTAGACGCAGTTGTACTGGTGCAAGTGTGTCATAGGGGCAAGCCTTTACAGGCAGGACTTCTTAAACAAGCGCAGCTGCCAAAGAATATACATCCTCAAGCTACATGCATAAGATGAAGGTGAAAAAAACAAATGGAAGACATGAAACAGTTTACATTCAAAATGATATTTTTAGTATATTGCATGTATAAGTACACACTAATCCATTAGCTGCCTAGTGATGTTGTAAAGCAGACTGATAGTCATCTTGGTTCTTTAAGGCACTGTTGCCTACACACCCACAACTCTGCAGTCAGTGCTCAGCAGAGGATAAAGAAGGGAACAGACAGAGAAGATTATCTCTGGGTTTTTCTGACTGCGTGTTCTCCACACTGGGGTACAGAGGCGCTTTGATGGGACTAAGGTGTATGGGGAATGTGTTGCTGTTTCAACCTGTGTTTATGCCTGCCCTGATAAACACCATTGTTTTACAATGTAACCAGGCAGGCACCTTTCTTAAGAAGTGAATTCAAATGTTTTCAAATGTACCTGACTGGGGAAATAAACAGACTCGGCCATTATCTGATGTCAGATTAAAAGCTGTCTTTCTTACTGTGGCTTCAGGATGCCTACCTATTTTGGCAAGCACTTCAAGAGAAGCAATGAAAATTCTCGATTGACATGAAAGTCTTGAGAAAATAAGAGGTGCTTGCCTATGAATGCGTTGCTTTTTCTACTGAGGCATTACTTGACATTAGGTGCTTGCTCTAGGTGCGAGCTGAACATTTGAGACATATGGGTGAAGATCAGAGTTGGGATTGCATTGCTAGGCAGCACTTGGCTTTGTAAATTAATGTCTTGTGGGCTAAAATAAGGTGGCAAGTGCAGGAGGGCCAAGCTGAAATAACAGCTAATGGGGCAAAGTGTGCTAAATTGGTTTTGGCTCTGCTTCCACTGTACTCGTGAGGAGGAGGACTGACGTGCTGCAGTGGAATCACTTAACTTGAATGCTCCGGTGCAACGACAGCTTAAACAGGGACGGTATTTACTGCACAGTGGTATAGGAGGAGTTACACTGCACACTTTGAGTTACTGTTGAGGGCTTTAATTATCTTCTCGAAAGCCAGCAAAACTGAGGCTCACAACCAAGGGAACTGACTAAAATATGTGCTATGTGCAGTTGAGTGATGGAACATCAGGCCTTCTAGTCAGTAGAGATTGTCTTTTGCTTGGTCATTTTTTAAAACTCACAAGTTGGACAGAAGAAGAAACACCTGGCAGTAGAAACCTAGAATTTCTACTTTCTGATACGACGCAGCCAATGAAAGAAGCAGACACGCTATCCGGTAGAGTAGAGGGCAGCATGGTACTTGCATATCAGTACCATGTTTAAAAAGCATGCAAAAGTATTTCCGCACATACTAGCATGCTGATGCTTGGGAGATTAAGAAAGCCTGGCATAGTGTGTTGCTCTATATAGCTACTGCTGTTGACTCATCATTAAAACAAGAAGCATGTATCTCTTTTAACTGCAGGCTATCTTCAAGCTGTTCCTGTGAGATGTTTTTTTCCAGTCACCATCTGTTCCTTTTTCTCTTTTTCTCAGGAAGCAGCTGTGTCCAGCCCTAGTAGTAATCCTGGGAAATCCAATCCATGACAAAACTATCACCTCTGCGCACAGCAGCATCTGTCTTGAGGCTGATTCACCTTCCTCAGGGGTGTCTGATCACGGCCGGGGTTCTGGGTGTTCGTCCACAGCCCCTGCCCTTAGTGGACCCGTTGCACGGACCATATATTACATTGCAGCAGAACTGGTTCGACTGGTGGGGTCAGTGGAATCCATGAAGCCTGTGCTGCAGTCTCTCTATCACCGGATACTGCTTTACCCGCCACCTCAGCACCGAGTAGAAGCCATCAAGATTATGAAAGAGGTAGGATAATCACAGGTGCAAATCCAGGCAAGCAAAGCAAAATGTTCACTTAACAGTAAATGTTGCTGAAATGTGCCTAGCATTCCATTTCTGTACCTTAGCACGAGGGATGTTGAAATCCCTGATTCTGAGCACAGCTGTTACATGGAAGCCACTCTGACAAGTAGTTTTACAGAGTCATAGTAGCTATATTTGTCTCCATTGCACCAGCTGCTATGGCAACTCTGTTAGTGTTCAGGCAGTGATACTGCGTGGAGCAGATCTTAGCACCGAGTCCTGACTGCTTTTTGGTTGAAATACAGTA